TTCGCTGGTCTGGCCAGCCTGCGGCCGCCCGTCGCCGCCGCCCGTCTGGCCGTGTGCGCCGGTCCGGCCGGCTTGTGGCCGCCCGTGGCCGCCGCATTTTGGTCGCAAGTTTGATTGTGCGAGCCTCGTAGGTTGCACCACGTGAATTGCACCACGCAGGTTGCATCATCTAGATTGCACCACATCGATTGCACCGCGTAAATAACATCACACAGATTGCACCACATTTTGATTGCTGAGCATTGGTTGCACCACACAGATTGCACCACATACAGTACACCACATAGACTGCACCACGTAGCTCAGACCACATAGATTGCGCTACATAGTTTACACAAGATATATTGCGCCTCAGAGACTGCGCCACATCGACTGCACCACATGTCTTACACCACGTCGATTGCACCACATTGCTCACACCACATAAATTGCTTGGCGTAGCTTGCACCATCCATGTAGCTTACACAACAGAATTGCACCACACTGGTTGCACCACATGGTGTGCTAGAAGACATTGTTTGGGGTCCACGCTTGCTAACACTATTTTCTCTTCTCCTTTTCTCCTCTGCCCCTCCTCCTCCTACCCGGACGATTGTGACGACGACCACGACCACGACGACCACGACCAAGGTGACTACGACAACGACCACGACGACCACGAAGACGACAGCCGAGGCCACGGCCGCTGAGGGACCACCGTCGCGACAACGTCCGCTCCCTCCGGGAGCCCGCGCCCCAGCGGAGCGCCCTGCGGTGCAATGGGAGGAGGAACGAGAAAGGCGGAGGAGGAGGAGGAGGAGGAAGAGGAGTTTGGGGTACGTCCGAGGAGGAGGTGGGGGAGGAGGAAGAGGAGGAGGAGGAGGAGGAAGAGGAGAAGGGGGAGGGGAGGGGAGGGAGGAGGAGGAGGAGGAGGAGGAGGGGAGGGACGAGGGGGAGGGGGGGGGATGGGGAGGGGGAGGAGGTGGAGGAGGAGGAGGAAGAAGAGGAGGCGGAGGAGGAGGAGGAGGAGGGATGGAGGAAGAGGAGAGGAGGAAGAGGAGGAGGGAGGAGATGGAGGAGGAGGTGAAGGATGGAGGAAGGAAGAAGGAGGAGGAGGAGGAGGAAAAGGACTTCCAAAGGATTTTCCCAACCCCAACCCGCGCGGAGAGGGAGGAGGTGTGGGAGGAGGAGGAGCAAGATGAGGAAAGGATGAGGCGGATCAGAAGGGAGTGAGGATTGTTCGCATGTTTGACAATGTTTGACTGACAATGTCTGACCTTCTGGAGGCGTGCGAAGGCCTCTGGGGACCCCTGGGGACCTCCAGAGGAGGTGGACGAGGAGGAGGAGGAGAAGGAGAAGGAGGTGGACTTCTCAAAGGGTTTTCCATTATCGACAGGAGGAGGAAGGGAGGAGAAGTTGGAGGAGGAGTTGGAGGAGGAGTAGGAGGAGGAGGAGGAGGAGGGGGAGGGGGAGGAGGAGGAGGAGGAGGAGGAGGAGGAGGAGGAGGAGGAGGAGGAGGGGGAGGAGGAAGAGGAGGAAGAGGAGGAATGAGGTTCGAGGTTCGAGGATCGCCCATCGAGCTTCGAATCGAGGATCGATTCGTTTGAACGTGACTGTACCACGTTGGGCCGGTGGAGTCTGGAGGACTCCAGGGAATTCTGGGGAATTCTACAGACGTCATAGGGGAGAAGGATGGAGGGAGGATGACCTTCGTCCTCTTCCTCCCTCCCTTCGCGATCGGTGGCGCTTTCTGACACCGTCAGGCCAGGGGGATCACGGGATCGAGAAAGCGTGGCGCCTCGCGCGCGGTAACGCATCTGCGTCGCATCGACGTTTGCTGGCGCCTCGGGCCACAGTGAGGGCGCGGGGAAGTCGGAACCGAGACGTCGCGAGGCGTCGCTCCTCGGGGCATTGGAAGGGCGGAGTCCTCCGCGAGATCGCGAGGGCGAGCGACTCCGAAACGACGTGCTTTCAGGTGCGGAGCCGCCCCCGGCATGCCCCAGGGGGGGGGGCAGCCGCGAGTGTGTGCGTTCGCGGGCGGAGCCGCCCCCAGCAGGCCCCAGGGGCAGCCGTGATAGTATTCGCACGTGCGGGGCAGTCCCGAGCAAGCCCCATGGGCCGCCAGCAGCCCCACGGCGGCCTCCCTACTCAGGGGGTCCCGAGAGCGTGAGGTGACCACACCGCGTCATGAGTCCGTGGGGGTTCGGGGTCTTCCTTGTCAACCTCCCGCTCCTCCTCAGCATCAGCAGCATCATCAGCATCCTCATCAGCATCACCAGCAGCATCACCATAGCCATCATCATCATCATCATCATCATCATCATCATCATCATCATCATCATCATCATCATCATCATCATCATCATCATCATCATCATTGTCATCATTGTCATCATTGCCATCATCATCAGCAGCATCAGCATCATCATCACCACCATCCTCATCATCATCATCATCATCAGCATCATCATCGTCGCCATCAGCATCAGCATCAGCATCAGCATCATCAGCCTCAGCATCAGCATCAGCATCATCATCATCATCATCATCATCATCATCATCATCATCGCCATCGCCATTGTCATCGTCGTCGTCGTCATCATCAGCATCTTCATCAGAAGAAGAATAGTCGTTGCCGTCGTCATCATCATCACCATCACCATCGTCATCATCATCATCCACAACATCGTCATCATCAGCATCGGCATCATCAGAAGCAGCATCATCATCAGCACCATCGTCCTCAAATGTATCCTCAAATGTTCTTCTTCCCCTCATCCTCCTACTCCGAATCACCATCAGCATCATCATCAGCATCATCAGCATCCCCCTCCTCCTCATCTTCCTCCGTTGCTACCATTCCCATCGTAGCCTTCATGCTTTATCCTCCTCCTCCTCCTCCTCCCCTCCTCCTCTTCCTCGTCATCACCATCATCATCGTCCTCATCCTCTTCCTTGTCCTTCTTCTCATCCTCTCCCTCCTCCTCCTCCTTATCCGCATCCTCCTCCTCATCCTCCGCATCCTTCGCCTCCTCCCCTCCTCGTCGTCCTCCTACTCCTACTCCTACTCCTATCCTACTCCTCTTCCTCCTCCTCATCCTCCTCCTCCTTCTCCTCCTCCTCCTCCTGTTTCCTCCGTATCCTCTTCCTCCTCCTCTTCCGCCTCCTCCTCCACACTCGAAGTGGATGCCACGCTGATATCTGGGCTCAAGCACTGGAAGACTGGAAGGCATGCATCCTTGATAGAGTAAGGACAGGTTAGTTTATCGCCGCCATGCGTTCTTTCTCGCCACCAACCCTTGCAATTCTAGTTGGTAGCGGAGCAGGGAGCTTTCCCAGCTTGCGATCCACGAGCGACGCGCAGAGCGCGATGTGGACGCACATTCACATCCCCCTCACTCTCCGCATTGGTACCATCCGCCATTCCCTGAACACCTTGTGCGTACGGTTGTTCTGCAACCCTCACGGCAGGTCGCCCAACTCACCCACAGGCGCGACGAGGCCGACGGCAACGACCGCAAGTGACCCTGTCAGTGTACCATATCTTGAGAGACGAATGGCTTGGTGCAGGGGTACATCCACTCAAGGAGGCACCAAAGCTTCAGCCTCTTCGCCATCACAGCTTCCTATCATTGGCATTGGGGCGACAAGGCTATACCGCACAAGTGGGCCAGCGCTTGGTTTCGGAATGTGCGCAGTAGTGCTGGCTTACGTCATGATGAGCACGCCGCGCACCCCGAATTGCTTCAAGCCGGTACATGTACCTGTCTTACCACCCTTACACATCGTCAAGGGTTCGCGTATTCACACGACTGCTCCACGTGTCAAGATGGCTTCCGCCCCCGTGCAGATCCGACTTCCACGGCGCCTGCGCGGCAATTGCGACGGCTTTGTCGGAGGGTATCCCACTTGGCACTATTGGGCAGTATCCTCACGTGGTCGCCTTGCTCTGGCTTGTCTGTATGATGCGTGGAGGAGCCAGACAGCAAGGCAGAGTCAGAGGCGATAGCAGGGGCGGCATCCAATCCCACCAGCCACCCTCCTGGCCACCCGAGACTTAGTCGCCTGGAGCGCACTTGCCACCGTCATGGACAGACAGCGCCCAACATCATCGCCAGCGCGCTGTCATCATCCTGTGACTCGGCGGCGCCGCTCACGATTACGCGTCCTATGAACTCCACGGAGACGCGGAGATGACAGAACGAGGATCAGTCAACGGTGAACTGGAAGACGCCGTCACCTATTGAATCGCGAACTTCAAGCCGCGCTTCTCTCGCGGCTCCTCACACTGCGACCCCGAGCAAAGCACCACGGTGGAGCTGCGATGTTACGAGAAAGCTATGGCCGGGCGCTCCCCCGAGCGACTGGCGCCACCGCTAGCCAATTCACGACGCTGACCCAGCCCCGCGACAACCCATATCCAACGACAGAGCCTGAGTTCAACAGCGTCGCAGACATGCGTAGGCGCGTTGGTCACGTTGTGAAGCGCGCATCCGACAACATCGCCAGCGCCCCCGGCGCACCACCATCCTGCGGAGATTTCGCAGGAACGGCCGACGGCAACAGTAGCGACGCAAGCGCAGCAGACCCCTAGCACTCACAAGGGCTTGATCCTTGGGCTGCTAGCGCTGCCGAACTCGCGACCACCTCTGGGCGTCGTGACATTCGAGTCCGTGCCAGTACGGCACTGAGCCCAGTAAGATTCGGTTGTTCGACCAAAAGTAGCTGTCCTCGTGTATCTGGGGAATCGCCACCTGGCCGCACGGTGCGTCCTCCTCAGAATGCGCCCTCCAAGCGTCGTGATTGGTACGATAGTTGAGACGAATTGGAAGTCCAATGGCGCAGCATGGTGGTGCCATAACAACTACCGACACGCTTTTGGACATGGGGTACCTGAGGAAACGCGGTTCTCGCGGGTCGCCCAGATCGCACCCGGCCACCGGGCCAAGGTTCTCGCCCGTCGCGAATCGACGGCGCACCGCGCTCTGCGATGGACGGGTTTCGGCCCCGCACAGCTCGCAATGATCCATCCCTTGGCCCCGCATGAGAGCCACGGCGACGGCATGCTCTGGGTCGGCGGCCTGGCAGGCCGAGACTGGAAACGCGGGTCGGAGACCGTCTGCGGCCCCGGCCGCGAGGATTTCGCCAAGGTGCCCATCTTCTGAGACCGCATTGGATTGTGCAATATGCACGTCTGGCGCCAGCTTTACCAAATCATCCACCGTTCCCGATCTCGATGGATCCTCGCCGACGTCGTCGAAGGCGCCCTCGACAGCCGCCTGGAACACGAGTTGGGCCCGTGCGCGCGACTCTCGCGGTCGCCAGGCTCGCGACTGGAATCGGGCAGTTGGTTCGCGCTGGCGCAACGAGGCCGGCTCGGAAAATCGCAGTAAATCGGGCCATGGTGCTCCGGTCAGAATCTGCAAGCAAGTAGTCGGTAGTTGGCGTCGTGCTTGGGCTGGTCGCAGTCCTTCGGGCAATCCTGCGCCGGTTCGTCTTGACGTTTTCGATAACCGTAATGATGCGGCGATTGGCTTTGCCATTCTCATTGCCACTCGAGTCGGCATCGTCGGGCTGACGAACAGTCCAAGTCGGAGAGTGCCGGGCGACCACATGCACAGCAGCAGGGCCATCCGCGGGCTCGCCAATCTTAGACAGATTGAACAAGAGCAGCGGCTGCTCCGCCCATTCCAAAATGATTCACCAGTTGGGCATCAAGTTATTGCGCCACTTCTGCCACGTTTCCCTCGGCTTGCGCGCGCACTGCTCGCGCGACGCGCCCCTCGCTTCACGCGGCAGGACCATGGTGCCCAGGCGTTGGGCCCCAGCAGGCCCAGGGCGCAGTGCCTGGCGGGCGCGCGCGCTCCAAGCTGCCACGGCGATGGATTGTCACAGCGATCTGCAAAGCCGTCTTCGGCGTCGATGCAACACACGGTTTCGGCGCGAGCCTCAGTCGGCGAAGACGGATGGCGACCAGTCTCGCGCCTGTTGCTCGGGACGTGATTGTTTTTTCAATCGCAGTGGCTCATTTACCAGCGAATGCTATCGCCGCACACGGTATACCATTGCCCGCGCAAGCAAACACAGTCTCATGAACGAGGTCGAGGGCGCGAGTGCATTTGTTACCAGCACGCAAATGTCGACGCGGCATCACAGCCCAAGCAAGCCCCTATCTGCGTCGAGCGACTACGCGGGGAAATACCGAGAGGCGGGCGGATATAGGAGCGTTGGGATGCACCGTGCAAGCATTCCAACCATGCTGCCCAAGAGCTCGTGGCACGCCGGACGCCGGCTCAATCACGCAAGCAGGTTTCGTGCACGATTGGTCGAGGGCCGTCGGCCCACTGAGACCCGAGCGCAGGCCGCTACGCAGCCACCGCGGCGGAGGCAGCAGATGTCGGCGGCGCACTGTCCTCGGTCGCAGTCTCTGTCCCGACTGCGCAGTCGACGACACCGACGACCATGGCGAGGTGTCCGCTCTGCGCTTTCTGCAAAGGATGCCATCGAATCTGCGCATCGCCACCCCCTGGTTGCCCGCGCCCCGGATTGCGCGCGTAGGCTCCGCGCTCCGTAGACAAGATAAACCAGGTAGCTCGCGGCCAGAACCTCGCGCGATGGGCGCCGCGAAGCTGCGGGGCGCGGCGCCGCCCTGACGACCTGCGACGGCCGCGGGGGCGCTCGCCCGATCGGCGCACTCATCTGCCCCGTTGCCAACACGATGGGCGCTCGAAGACTTGCCCGTGAGGGCTCGCTGCGGCCGGCGCCCTGCATCGACGGCGGGCGGGCGCCGCTGGCGCGCGAGCGCCCCTCGCACGAGTTTGGCCCATGCACCTGGGCCAACCATTGCGCTGAGCCCACCCGTGGTCAGCTCAGCACGGCTGCGGCATACCTGAGCGGCGCGCGGGCGGGCCAGAAGGGGCACGGTACGTAGCATTTCGGCCCCGCCACCTCACGGCGAGCCCGGCGGTGACTACGACCCCCGCGCGGATGCCGGCGCGCTGGTAGTAAGTTCATGCAGTAGAGCACCCCGAGGTGTCCTGGGCGCATCGCCCGGAGGCGTTGCTGGACGAGGCGCGGAAGCAACGCTCGCGAGCGCGACCTCTCGCGCCGCCAGTCGCTGCCCGCGCGCGGGGCAGTGCGAGGAAGGCGCCAGTACCGAGTCGCCTCGATAATGAACCTCCACAGCCTTGGGCCGAGAGTTGTCGAGGCTCGCAGCGACCCGGGCGTCGGCACAGTCCCGGTGAAACTCACGCCCGCGCCAAAGGACAAAACGCCCATCCAAGTTGGCGCACTCATGCAAGCAAATGCCACGCAATGTTTTCATACACGTCCATGCCAGTGACTTTGGACTCGGCTCGTAAATCCCCGGGCTGAGGCGGCGGGGATGCCTTCGGCTGTCCAGCCGCAACAAAGTTGATCATCTGCTGTGCCCGCCCACGGCGGTGAGCGCGGCGTTGTTCCATCTGCGCGTCGCGCTATGTTTCGAAGCTTGCTGAGGCCGTTAGCCGCGCCGTGGTCTCAGGGGAGAAGTCGCGTGACACGTTGGTCATGTTGGCCGTGGTCGGGGCTGACCTTGTCGGAGCCTGGCTAGTTGGCTAAGTCCGCTGAGGCGTGGAATGGTGACTCGCTGTTCGTCGGGGACAGCGAGCAGGCTGCCTGGTGAATGGAAGCCCCCGCCCTGCGCTGCTGATCCACGAAGGAAAGCTCGCGGGGGCGCCCCGGGGCCGACGTCCGAGGAGCGGCGCGGGACCCCCGGCGCGCCGGGCCCGATCATGCCGCCGCGTCCGAGGCTGCGGAAACGGCGCCAGGGAACGACGGCAGCACTGAATGTCGCTGCCTGAGGTAGGCGCGGCGATATTGAATGTCCGAGGAGAAGGTAGCACGGCAGGTGCGTCGGAGCACGCGTGGCTCCGGACTGCGGTCAACGACGCAGCATACCAGCGGCCGCGAATAGACTCGGGCATCTGCCAGGAGCCCTCGGTAGCAGGCTGCGCCGTGCAGAGGCCAGGCCCCGACTCAAGTTGCGGCGGAGATTCGGTCGCCACCAAAGCAACGCCTGCGATGCCAGACAGAGGCCCGGCATCCAGCGCGTCGCCGAGGGGGCCCGAGCCGGCGTTGCATCCGAATGTTGGGCCATTTCCTCTAACACCTGAACTTCCACAGTCAGCCTGTGGGCATTTAGCTTTGATGTTGAAATCTGATCCGCAGATGCCGCGCGTCGTCGCTGTCCCGTCGCGCCCCTGAGGCATCTTCTTGCGGCCCCTTTTTCCTGCTGGGACGTTTGCCTTCATCTGTGAATTTGCTTTTGCCTGCGAAGAAGACGCCGTTCACCTGGTCGTCCGTCTGGTCGGCAAAGAAGCTGAAGTTTGAGAATATTTGCCTTTGCCTGTCTCGGAGAACGAACGTCCACTTGTCTCGATGAGTCTCCAGACTCTTCTGGTTGACTTGTTCACGCGGCGTCGCCATCGGCGCTTGCGATGTTTCTGTCAGAACAGCGCGGCGTCGATCTGAGTTTGGGATGGGCCTCTGAACCAATCCGAAGAGCAGTCGATAGCTTCTCCGAGGTCTGAACTGGCGTCGGAACTGGCGCCGCTCGAGCACTCGAGGTAGGCCCGCGCCTCATCGGCGCGCGGCCACGCGGCGGCAGGGCACGCGGCTTGCGCCAGCGCAGCGCTCGGCTGAGAGCTGCCGGCACACGCGAAGGCACCTCCGTCACCCCATCCTCAATTTCAGCGCCGGCGTTTTTCACTGGCACCATCCCCTGCCATCTTCTGGATTGGAAGTGCGGGGCCCTCAAGACGGCGACAAGAAGCACCTTCAAGAGCGAGCTGATTGCCGCGATCTCGCCCACGGATCACGACCTGGCGATCACCGCAACGCTCCACGCGGCGGCTGGAGGGACGCGCGGTCCATACGCCACGCGTTGCCAGCGAGACGGGCAGCAGGCTTCGACCGCGCAGTCCGAGCTCTGCCAGGACTCCACGGGCGTCGCCACCGCCGCGACGGCCACCAGGCCCAAGCCTCTGGCAGAGCACTCGCCGCTGCCACATCCCCCGCGGCTTCGAAGCCCCCCATGCGCAGGCTGGCCATCGATCGGCCTTGAGCAGGGGGACAGGCGACGCGATTGCGGACGGACTCACGGAGGGCTGCATCGACCGCGCAGCATTCCATTCTGCCTCCAGCGGCCACCACAGAAGAGACCACATTCCAGATACCGCCACCTTCAACGCCGCGGCCAAGCTCACCGCATCATCTGGTCATGATCACAAGCCTGGCGAGGGAGACGATCAGCAGTGACCAAAGCGGCCGCTGCACTCGAGTCCGACCTGGCCAAAACCTAACCCCTCTTCCTCATCTCTTGTTCGGAGGTCCCATGTCTGATTTCGCGCTGGCCAGGGGGGGCAAGCCCGCTGCGCGCGCGTTCCTGAGCGCTGACTGGGACGAGCGGCACGACAGGCACTGCCTGCATATAACTGGCAGCAATTTAGTTGAACGTGGAAAGGCATGCGCAGCAGCAAACTATGCGACATGCGCATGTGCACGCGCGCGCACGCGCGACATCCGCGGCCGTTTGCACGCCCACTACGCGGGCCGAGCGCGGCGTCGGTCGCCCGCGCGCTGGCCTGCGCCAGCGACCCCGCGCGCTTCGCCGGGCGCTCGCGCGCGCGCATGCGCGCGTCGACCTTTCCACGAGGCCCGCGCCCGCGCCGGAGAGGGCGACGCGCGCGGCCGCGCCCGAGGGGAAGGCCGTCGCTGCGACCAAGCGGCCGGCCTCATAGTCGCCAGAGACGAGCACCAGCCCGCCACCACGTCGCCGGGGCAGCGCGCCAGTCGGGGGCGCCATTCCCAAGCCAGGCACGACGGCGCGCCCGCCAGGCGCGCCACCCACGACGCCGCCACCGCCGGCGACAGAGTCGAAGCAGCGCGCCCATCGCGCGCCACGTCAATCACGTTCGCCTTCGCCACCACCGCGAAGGAGGGCCCCACCACAGGAGGACCATGGCCCTGCAGGGGCGCCGACAACCAGGTCCTTTCGCCCCTGGGCACGCGCCGCCGCCAGCGCGGCCCCGCGGCCCTCGGCGTCGCCCCAGCCGTCGCCCTCGCCTCGGCCTGCGCGTCCGAGGATTGCCGCGACGAGCAAGGCTAGGGCGCCCGCGCCTCTGCCGCTAGAGGCGTTCGAGGAGGGGCGCGGCGACTACGCGCAGTTGGCGGTGGGCGAGAACCGCAGGACACAGGGCCGACGAAGGCGTCGCGCTCTCAATATCTCTCTCTCTCTCTCTCTCTCTCTCTCTCTCTCTCTCTCTCTGCGAGCTGTTCGACGCTGTCAAGTTCGACAAGTGCATCCGCTGCGCGCGGCACGCGAGTAGGCCCCTCCCAGAGAACACCTCGAGGCTCGCGCCCTTCACCGACGGGCCCATGGACCTGCGGCCGCGCGCGGCGCTCGGCCACGAAGCGCGCGTCGCGGGCGGGCAGCGCAACATCGATCCAGACGTGCGCCCCGTGATCGAGTGGGAGATCGCGTCGCCGTCGGTCGTCTCTGCCCAGCGCTCGGCGGCGCACTGGATCTATTCACTGACCCGCGAGCGTCGCCGTGCTCCCGCCCGCCAGAGGAAGGACGCGACAACCGACGACGCCGAGCAGAAGGTCCCGACCACCCCAGACGCGGACTCTGAGGGGTCCACAGCGGACGACACCGCAGAGGCCGCGAGGAAGCCCATCTACGAGGACGAGCCTCACAGCAGCGAGGGGGGGGGGGGGGGGGGGCAAAAACTGAACGGCCAGGCGCAACGCTGGACACCACAATCCACGCGCCCCCAAGGAAATCTCCCACTTTTGTCCCGCTCTTCCCTACCAGTCCAAGGCCCCGCCAGATTCTCGTCCTTCCGCGTTCACGGGTCGAGTGTCACTTTTCCTCGAGCTTAGTTCAGACTTTCGGTCGCCTCGACCGCGATGCACAGCCCTCACGCATACAAAGTCACGGCGATTGGTTACCACCCTCACACCACTCAGGCGAGCTGCTTTGCGCGGTCCCGAAAAGCACGAGCGTGCCCTCTGAGCACAGCCAGTGAGCACGCACTCCGCCAGCCTGGCGAGGCGGCCAGGCATCCTGCGCGGATTGGGAAGGTGCGCGATGGTTGGAAAGTTCTGAGATTCCATCTTTATTGGTTCCTTTGTTCCGCCAGAGCTCTTCGATCGTTAGCACAATCCAGATTCGAACAGGATGCCCCACTGCTATCTGGGCCCAAGCACCGGAGCGCATGCATTTCTGATAGAGAATGAAAAGGCCCGTTTGTCGCCGCCACGATGTCTTTCCCACTACCAATTCCTGCAGTTATCGTTATTCCTCCTCCTGCTCTTTCCTCCTTCCACTTCCCTCGCACATCCCCCTTCTCATCTCTCTTCCCCCCATCCTTCCATGGTGCTCTTGCGAATGGACCGAAAGCTCCGAAAACTCCTCCCCCCCATCATCCCCCTCTTGCCTCTCCCTCTCTCCTCAAATTCGGCCGCAGAGCTACAGAATTCCTTGTCGATCCCTGGACGGGCCATTGGATCCACGAGGCATCCTCCCACCCTTCCTCCCCGTCTCCACTCTCCCCCCAACCTCCGCTTTCTTGCCGCACATTCTGCTCAGGCTGGAGCGACACGTGCGCGAGCGCAAGGCCAAAGAGCAGGCGGCGCAGGCCGCCCGCCGCAGCCGCCGCCAGCCGCCGCGGCCACTCGATCGCGGCGTGACCGCTGCGTCGGCGACGGAAACGACGACGACGATGACGACGGCGACGACGACGACGTCGACGACGGCGACGACCACGACGACCACGACGACCACGACGACCACGACGGCCACGGCGACGTCGACGGCGCCCGCTGCGTCGGCGACGACGACGACGACGACGACGACGACGACGACCACGGCCACGGCCACGGCCACAGCCACGGCAACGACCGTGGTCACGGCCACGGCCACGGCGAGACAAGCGTCCGCAGCGGCGGTGGCGGTGGCGGTGGCGGAGGCGGCGGCGACGACGACGATGACGACGACGACGACGACGACGACGAAGACGACGACGACGACGACGACGACGACGACGACGTTGACGACGACGACGACGGCGACGACGACGACGACGACGACGTTGACGACGACGACGACGACGACGACGACGACGACCACGACGACGACGACGACGACGACGACGACGGCTGCGGCGGTGGCGGCGGCGGCGGCGGCCGCGGCGGCGGCGACGGCGACGGCGACGGCGACGGGCACGGCCACGGCCACGCCGACGGCGACGCCGACGGGCACGGCCACGCGACGGCCACGGCCACGGCCACGGCGAGAGTGGCGGCCGCGGCGGCGGCGGCTGTGGCGACGTCGGCGGCGGCGGGTGCGGCGACGGCGACGACGACGACGACGACAACGATGACGACGACGACGACGACGACGACGACGACGACGACGACGACGACGGTGACGGAAACGACGACGACAACGACGACGACGACGTCGACGACGTCGACGACGACGACGACGATGACGACGACGACGACGACGACGACGTCGGCGGCGGCGGCGTCGGCGGCGGCGACGACGGCGGCGACGACGACGACGACGCCACCACGGCGACGGCGACGGCGACGGCGACGGCATTGGCGGCTGCCGCGGCTGCTGCTGCTGTTCCGGCGGCGGTGTCGTCGTTGTTTCGGGGGCTCTCAGGCGCTGCTTGGTGGCCCTCGCGCGGCTCGGAAGAATGGGCAAGGTTTTCAGGGGCACCGTTAGGGGAGGAAAGGCTCAGGGTGGGGAAGCATCGACCCCCATTCATCGCCGAGAGCGGCCCGATAGCCCCTCCCCGACCAGGAGCGTGGGGAGTTGCTGTCGCAGGCCTATGGCCGGTCTATCGGCGATGCGATGTATCGCCGATTCCCGGTCGATATTCCCTCCCCCCTGAGCCGGTCCCAACCTACCGTTCCTTGTCACCGTCGTCGTTTCGGATATGTGGGTGGCCGCATTTCTGGAGGTCCTCGTCGCCACAGCTGGGCGCGGCTCTGGAAGCTGGCCTGGGTGGACCAATTCTTAACGGGTTGTGTTCCGAGGGCGGCGGCGGCGATGACGAGGATCGAGGATGGTCGGGGATCGAGGATTTTGGAAGTTTTTGGCCCTTGCGGAGCATTCTGGAAGTATCCCAGGACCTCCAGAGACACACCTCCAAAGCTCGAGAGACTTCCTGGAGACTTCAAAGACAACGGCGAAGATGAGGAAGAGGAGGAAGAGCATGAGATGTTTGGCGGTTTTCCTCGGTCCACATGATTTTTGGAGGAGGTTCTGGGGGTCTGAGGGAGGAGGACGAGAAAAGGGAGGAGGTGACGGTGAAAGAGAAGAAATACGGCCGCGTATTATACAGTCTGCTTCTCCCGAGGGACGTTGTGGATTTTTCAGCGCGCCGATGGTTGGAAAGTACTTGGAGGGGGCGTAGCAGGCCCACAGTATATGGAAGCCCAGCTTCCGGGATCACATGGAGAGCGTCAGGAACACGCATAAACATCTTCGAGGTGTGGCGGCAATCGTTGGCGTTCTGCCGCGGTGTCGGCGCGCTGTGTCAGCACGTGGATCTCCTTTCGCAGGTCTGCAGGGAAAAAGGGAAACAAACAACAACAACAACAACAACAACAACAACAACAACAACAACAACAACAACAACAACAACAACAACAACAACAACAACAACAACAACAACAACAACAACCACAACCACAACCACAACCACAACCACAACCACAACCACAACCACAACCACAACAACCACAACAACAACAACAACAACAACAACCACAACCACAACCACAACCACAACCACAACCACAACCACAACAACGACAACGACAACGACAACGACAACGACAACGACAACGATAACAACAACAGCAACAGCAACAACAACAACAGCAACAGCAACAGCAACAGCAACAACAACAACCACAACCACAACAACAACAACAACAACAACAACAACGACAACGACAACGACAACGATAACAACAACAACAACAGCAACAACAACAACAACAGCAACAGCAACAGCAACAGCAACAACAACAACAACAACAGCAGCAACATCATCACCAACAGCAGCAGCAACAACAACAACGACAAAAAAGCAGCTGGCGCTCTGGCTACTGCGGATACAGCTTTGGCGGCGAGGATGGCCCAGAGAGGGAGAAGACGGTCCAAAAGCTCAGCCACCCCCCTGCCAGCCCCCCCCAAAAAAATTGAACCAACGATTCTCGATCTTTCCTCGAGCCTCGGTCCTTTTCTTTTGATCCGACATGGGCGGCGGACCCAGAGGGGGGAGGCCTTTTCTTCCTTCGGAGAAGGCCTAGAAAAACTTCTCGGAGTGCGTGAGGGCTTCTGAGAAGCCCAGCCGCTTTCGGAAGGCCTGCCCCTTTCGATTCCACCACCACCCCGCGCTCGCCGCCGAATGAAGCCTGCACCCCCGAGCCTCCCTCGAGCCTCGACCCTCCTCCCGGCCCGCCGTCCATCCATGCGAGCCCCCATTCCTCCCTCGAGCATCGACCCTCCTCCATCGAGCGTCGACCCTCTTCCCAGCCCGCCGACTAAAGCCTGCACCCCCGAGCCGCCCCCGAGCCCCGACCCTCCTCCCAGCCCGCCGTCCAGGCGAGCCCTTCGTTCACGCTGAGGCAGTTCGCGAACGTGCCCCCGCGGGTCTACCGCGAGGCGCGCGCCCAGCCCTCCCCCTCCCCCGTGGTTGGCCCCAGGCTGCTCGGGGGCACACGGCTCACCTTTTCCTCCTCCTCCGACAAAATTCCCGTCTCCTCCTCCTCCTCCTCCTCCTCATCCTCCCTCCTCCTCCTCCTCTTCCTCCTGTTCCTCCTCCTCGCCTCCTCCTCCGCCTCCTCCTCTTCATTGTCATCATCATCTCATCTCCTCCTCCTCCTCCTCCTCCTCCTCCTCCTCCTCCGCCTCCTCCTCCTCCGCCTCCTTCTCTTCATTGTCATCATCATCCTCATCCTCGTCTCCTCATAGCCTCCTCATCCTCCTCCTCCCCATCCTCCTCTTCCCCCTCCTCCTCCTACCCCTGATTCCTACTCCTACTCCTATCCCTACTCCTACTCATCCTCCGTTGCAAATTGGATTCAAGCCGTTTTGGCGCGAAATGCTCAGCTTCCTTGGGGACAAAGTGGATACCGTTAGTCCGCGGCCAACCTCCAATCATGTACGTTTTTGCCGGGGACGATTTTCACACCTGACGCTTGCTTGCTGGTGTGCCGTCCGTCCATAAGTCGCTCGCCCTTGGAAGACCAGCTCCTCATATCGCGCCCGCAGCACGCAACGGGATCTACCATATTCAAGAGGTATACACCTGATGTCATTGCGCTTCCTGGCATCAGTCGTGCTGGCACTCCTTGTGGGGCAGATGCACAGGAAGATGGGTATTATATATATATAATGGATGAATACCAGGTCCCCGGCCCCGGGGCTCCGGCCCACCCCCGGGACATCCGGGTCACGCCCGTGTTACCCCCCCCCGGGGGCTCCAAGACGGCCCAAGAGGCCCTCGAGACGGCCCAAGAATGTTCCAAGACGGTCCAAGAGGGCCCAGAGTCGCCGAAAGATCGGTCCAAGACGCCCATGATGGCTTCCAGACGACCCAAGACGCCCCCAAGAATCCCCAGAGGCCTCCAAGAGGCCTCCCAAGACGGCCCCGAGAGGCTGAAATCGTTGATTTTTCATGTGTTTTCAATATGTTTTTGGGTTTCTCGCTGTTTCCGCTTTCTGAGACTCCAAGACCGCCCGAGAGGCTCCCAAGACTGCTCCAAGACGGCCCAAGATGCCCCCAAGAGAGCCCCAAGACGGCCCAAGAGAGCCCCAAGACCGCCCCGGATCCGCCCAAGACGGCCCAGGAGTGCCCCAAGAAGGCCCCAAGAGGGGCCCAAGAGAGGGAACACGAACCGAAAAATCGAGCTCTCCGCCCGAAGATGCCCCCATGAGAACCCAAGAAGCCCCCAGGACGCCCCAAGAGGCCCCCAAGAGGGGCCCAAGAGGCCCCCAAAGGCCTCCAAGAGGCCCCAAGAGGCCGCCACGAGGCCCAAACGAGGCCTCCACGCGACACACATGACGGCCCAGACAGCCCCAGGAGGACCCGAGGACAGTCCTCTTGCAAAGCAAAAAGCAAGGGGATGCGCAACCAGCCCAAGGGATATTCAAGAAGGATGCCGCGCGCATTCTGCACCCACCTTTGTCAGTGTCATGGCTGTTCGGGCTCAAGGGCGCCCTTGCATCACACTGCAGCGTCGCGGCCATGGGGCCCCGTCGTTGCGGGGCCTTTTGGGGGTCCTCCCTGGGAAGCTCCGTGGCCGCTTGGAGTCACCTTGGGGCGGTCTTGGGGCCTCTTTGAGCATCTTGTGAGCCATCTTGAGCCATCTCGGAGCTCATCTTGGGCTCTCTGAGGCCCCCTTGGAGCCGTCTTGAGCCGTCTTCGACGATCTGACCGCTCGCGGGGACCCCATTTGGGTCCAGGGGAGATGGTTAGGGGCAGAGGTACCCTCCCCGAAGGGGTAGAGGGAAGGGTGGAGGGAGGAAACGCGCTTAACCACCTACGCACAGGGAGCTGATGGGATTATCTTTGCAACTCCTCTCATCCCCTGTATGTGTATATATATATATATATATATATATATATATATACACACATCCATACAAACGTACATACATACAGAGATAACCAGGCATACGCACATCTTATGTATCTATGCACCTACATACACAGCACGGGGGGACCGGGCCCAGGGGCGTGGGGGCCACGGCCCCTACCACAAATGGGCGGCCCGGGGGCCAAGCCCGCTCTTGGGAGCCCCATGAGAGCCATCAGAGAGCGGTCCGACGGGCGTCACGGCGCCCCTAAGAGAGTCGCGAACCACTGTCCAGACGGCCTGCAGGGGTGTCAGACGGCGCAAGAGGCGTCTCGAACGGCCCCTGAGGCGTCCAAGACGCTTGGAGACGCCTTCAAGAGGTCCCTCAAGAGGGCCCCGACACACAACAATCGACTCATCCTTTCTTGTAAAACGTACCGCATAGACCACCCTTCGGGTGATAAGGAGGTGAGGGGGGGGGAGGGACCAACGTCGCACTCGATTGATCTCACTATCGAACTCACTACCGATCTCACAATCGATCTCAATCGATAGATCTCACAATCGATCTGACTACCGATCTCACAATAAATCTCACAATCGATCCCACAATCGATCTAACATTCGGTCTCGCTATTGATCTCACAATCGATATCACAATCGATCTCGCATTCGATCTGACTATCGACCTCACTATCAAAATCACTATCGATCTCATTATCGATCTCACATTCGGTCTCACTATCGATCTCACAATCGATCTCACAATCGATCTCGCATTCGGCCTCACTATCGATCTCTCTATCGAACTCACTTTCGATCTCAGTATCGATCCCATTATCGATCTCACTATCGATATCACAACCGAACTCACAATCGATCTCACATTCGGTCTCATGATCGATCTCACTATCGAATTCACTACCGATCTCATTACCGATAGTGATCTCACTACTAATTCAATCGATCGATCTCACAATCGATCTGACTATCGATCTCACAATAGATTCCACAATCGATCTCACATTCGGTCTCACTATCGATCTCACTATCGATATCACAATCGATCTCACAATCGATATCCCATTCGGTCTCACAACCAGTCTCACTATCGATCTCACTATCGATCTCACATTCGGTATCACAATCGATCTCACAAGCGATCTGACATTCGATTTCACAATCGATATCACAATCGATATCACTACCGATCTCATTATCGATCATCAAAACAAAACATCAACATCGTCATCATCATCACCATCATCATCATCATCAATAACATCACCATAATCGGGACACCGACGGGGCACCGGCGGGACACCGCGGGCCCCCGGCCGCCCGGAAGGGAATCATTTGGTCCGGCCGCGCCTCAGCCACATGGGACACCAGCGGGACACCGGCGGGACACCGCGGGGCCCCGGCCGCCCGGAAGGGAATCATTTGGTCCGGCCGCGCCTCAGCCACACGGGACGCCAGCGGGACACCGGCGGGACACCGCGGGGCCCCGGCCGCCCGGAAGGGAATCATTTGGTCCGGCCGCGCCTCAGCCACAGGAGACTTTCCTCTCGCCCGCCCACGCAGCTTCGCCTCGCCCGCACGCACGGCACGCACGAACACGAAACCGAAATCGATTTCCCGGTAAGGGGGCTCTCCGTTCCACTTCGATCTCACCCCCTCACCTCCGATATGTTTGGCACATTCGTTGTTTTTGTCCTCGTAACGTCCTCGTCAACCACAGAGGCCCCCAAAAGCGCCCCAAGAGGACCCAAGAGGCCTCCAAGAGGACCCCAAGACGGCCCAAGAGGCTGGAAGCCGCGCGCGTGAAGCGCGCGGGTGGCCAAAGAGGGCCCCGACAGGGGGACGACATGGACACAAGATGGGGGGCCCGAGCTACCGTTTCGAGCCATCCGCCCCAAGATCGCCCCCGACGCCGTCCACAGGCCCCCACAAGCGGCCCCCACGGCCCCAAGACGCCCCCAAAAGGGCCCCCCAAAGGCCCCCAAGAGGCCCGTAGGAGGCCCCCAGGACGGCTCCAGGAGACCCCCCAAACGGGCCTCTGAGAAACTTCCCACGAAACTTTTATTTCCATCTACGAGAGGCCTCTGGTCCACAACCCAGGCCCGTTCCTGGGGCGCCGCCTGATTGGCGCAGGTTTCGTTTGTCTGTGTGTATGTGTTTTTGTGTACGTACGCATGTACGCACGAATGCACGATAGTATAGTTGTGTCCATGTATGTGCGCATGACAGAGGAAACCATATCACTTGACTCGGCGAAGGGCCCACCCCTTATGCAGCTGCGTGTAGCGCAGGGCGCGGCTCTCTCTTTGAATAATGCGCGCCGCGGGGCACACTGGATATGGGGGTTGCTGCTGAGCTAGCGCGCACAGGCACGCTGAGCTCCCTGTGGGGAACGATCCGCGTGAAGGGGGTGGCCGTTGCGCGAGCGCGCCCACTGAGGCCGTAGGTGGAGCTCCTTGTGGAGTGCGATCCGCGTGTAGCGGGGCCGAAACTGGCTTGGCGACTCTATGCGACATTGCCCAGAGTGCCATCCTTGCGGTGTGCGATCCGCGTTAGGGGTGTGGCGACATATGTGGAGGGACGCCATGCGAACTCTCCTGTTGGAGCCGTCGATGGAGCTTCCTAGGGGGCGCGAGCAGGGTGACGGGTGTGACGACGTGGGTGTGAAGACGCCGTGCGAACCTTCTCTCTGGGGCCGCAGGTGGAGCTCTTTTTGGGCCGCGATCCCTGTCAGGGGTGTCCCGCTATTGGTGGAGCGGCTACGAACCTTGTCTCTTCGGGTGCTGGTTGAGCTCCTGTTGGGACACGATCCATTTGAAGGGTGAGTCGGCATATGTGGGGGGCGCAATGCGAATCCCAGAAGGGAGTGAGGAGGCAGAGCAGGAGCAGGAGCGCGGGGAGTAGGAGGAGGACGAGGAGGAGGAGGAGGAGGAGGAGGAAGAGAAGGGCGATGACGAGGGAGGGGGCCGAGGTGGATGTAGGCTCTGCAACGCCCCCATGCAGCGGACTTTGTTGCAGAAACACCGATCCGACGGGCGGAAGCGAGAGCCGCACAACCTGGCA